GTATCTCGGCATCAATCTCTGCTAATGATTCTTCAACACTTCTTTCCATCAGGAGAAGATTGGACGATAGCTCCCCAGTAGCAGTTTCCCTAGTTGCCTCCTTGGCCTCATCACTCTCCTCATCCAAGGTTAAGTCCATAACCTGCTCAGCAGGAGGAGGGGACTTGGCTACGACGGCATCCTTGGGTTTTCTCACCAAGGCTTCTTCATCTTCATCCTCAGCATCAGCATCAGATTCTGATCCACCTTCAGGTGGAGGAGGAGGAAATGGCAAAGGGATGGCATCAGCATTCCGAAGGGGCGAGTCAACAGGGAGATCAAGCTTCTTTATCAGGGACATCCAACCTAGGGAAAATCCCCTGTTGCATGCCTGCCTGACTTGAAGCTTATAATCTTCTGCGACATCGGCCATACGTTGGGCATAGGCCTTTTCATCGGCCTCTTTGGTGGCCAGAGCTTGCTAGAGTTCTTTCTCCGCTTGGGCCTTCTGAACCTCGGCCTCTCTTTTCTCGGCCTCAGCAACTTTTCTAACGGCCTCAGCAGCTTCGGCCTTCTCAAGAGCTAAAGTTTGAACTTTAGTTGCAGCCTCGGCTTGATCCTCCAGTTTTTTCATTTTTGCTTCAAGAGACTTGATCTCTCTCTTCATAGAAGATGCTTCCCTTTTCATATCAACCAACCTTTGACGATTTTCAAAGGATTGCATGGAAAATGAGTGGGCACGCTGAATGGCCTGCAGAAAAACAGAAATGTGAGACAGTACTCTCAGTAAAGAGCGGAAGAAAAAATCATAAGTACAAATAAAAATACTCACTTGGACGGAGTGTTGGAGCATGAGAGCGTAATTCTCATACTCACTGAGCTTAGCATTTCGCTCCAAGTCGTTCGGAAGGAGAAGAGCAGTGCTGAGGGCGACACCAACGTTAATGTCGTCAGCACTTTCACTAGCCATAATAGGCCTATCCTCCAGGGATAGATCAGGGGCCCAGGGGACATCGGGCTTCTTTGAAGCCGAGGTCGTCGCGGACGATGACCTCGCCTTCTTCGATTGTGTAGACCCTGAGGGTTGGCCCTCAGCAAACCTCTTGGTTGAAGTAGAGGCTGATTTTTTGCTTTCTGCTAGTTTAGAAATTGGCAGAGCATCCTCAGCCTCGGCATCTGTAGCCCTGGCCTTAGGTTGAGCCTTTTTAACTCTCTTTGGTTTGGGTGGGAGCATTGATTGCGTTGGTACGGCTTCGGCGTCAGTTGGAAGATCGGCGAGAAGGTCTTGAACGACAGGCCTTGGACGAACCATCTCGGCAGTCTTTACAAGCCTTTGTCGACGTTTACGCTCAGGAATTGGTATTAAGTAGGAGGTCGAGGTTGATGGAAGATCGGCTGGGTCAGATGTGGACTCTTGATCTGTTCGGGATGTGGAAGCAATTAGGGTCGTGGCTGTGGGTGGAGAAAGACTCTTCTTTCTTTTTCTTGGGACGTCGGGTAAAGTGGATTTGCATGTAGGGATGAAGTTTAGTAACAGTGGGGCCTTTTGTTTGTGGATTGGGAGGTTGAGGAGTGTTTTTAGATCTGTTCCTGGGAAGAAGGATTGACGAAAATTTTTCGGTGGCTGATGAAGATCTGCAGGACAAAGAAACAGACGTCAGAAACAAAAAAGTATTAAGGACTTAAATAAAAACAACTAAGTGTTGACTCAGGGCTCTTACTCTTGCCCTCTGTAATTGTTCGAGGAAGAGGGTAGAGGTGGACATCTTCATCTGGGCCAAATTCCCAATTTCCAGAAGCAATGAGAAAATCATCTCTAGCCCCCTTGTTGGAGTCTGGGAGGTCGGCTACGATTTTGTACTGAGTAGATCTCGGTTTAAGGTAATAAACGAAACCCTATCCTTCAGGTCAAGAGGGCACATGGTATAGCAGTATTGAAGGTCGGCCAGGGTAATTCTAAGGTTCTCTTGCCTAGCTAAAGCAATAATACCGTTAATTACCCTATAGGAATTGATAGTAAGTTGCATGGGGTTCAGCCTATAGAAGTGAAGAACTTCACGAAACAGGGGATCAAGTGGAAACCGAAGTCCACATTCGGTGAAAGCTACTATAAGGAAGGGCATCGTATGGTCTGTGGGCATGATGGTATCACTATCCCCAGCCAGTTTAAGATGAACGTCGGCTGGGATAGAGAATTCCTGCCTAAAGTATTCAAGTTTTGTTGGGGTATTTACCCTGTGCCTCCACATACTCATTATGTCAATTTAAAATATGTTTCAGAAGATGGGCGTTTTTAGGAAGGGTTACAAAAACCTCGGTAAAGACAAAAAAAATGGCTGATAAGGCTTATTTCAGTTTTCCCTAAATTTGAAGGTTCTACGTAAAAATCCCAAACCTAAGAACTATGAAGATCAAGATTGAAGGCACAAATCTGGGACAGATACAAAAAAGAGAAAACAAAGACGAAGTTTCAGATTCAAGAACAGAGGTATAGCTCTCAGAAACAATAGAGATACAGGGAAGAAAAAAGAATCAAGAACATTAGCAAAGAGAATGGTGAAAAAGTATAGAAGTTCAAGGTATAGCCACAAATTCAAGATACAAATAAATCCAAGGCTTCGAACAAATCAGTAATGGCAGACAAAAGCACATAAAGAGAATAGAAGAATTAAAGGAAAGGGTCTTACCAGGACAAATGAAGCCGAGGCAATGATCGCCGAACCCAGAAACCGGTTGCAACAGCAAAAAAGGCTTCGTAAGAATGAGGGATTAAGATCAGTTCCAAAAGAGAGATCGAAGCAATGACAGATTCGAAGAAGAAAGAACTTTCGGAGAGAGAAAGAGCAAGAAGGCAGAATGAAAAAGTGAAGGAAGGATAGAGGCAAAAGAAAAGTTTTGTCAAAAATGTGAAACGGCGGCAAAAGGAATCCGAGATAAGGGACAAGAGTCCTGAGGCAAAGAGGGGACTTAATTAAGATAAGGATGAAGCTCTTGGGGAGTTTATCTCTATCTCCTAAAGAGTCCAAAGTAAGCACTAAAATTGGAGTTCATAGAAGTCATACTTCTAGTGGGACTTGGATTGAGTATATTATAAAAGAGAGGCACCCCCGTGGGTCTAAGGTATGCAATTTATGTTTTGAGTATTCAGTTTAATACTTGATTATCTTTGAGAGATATACTGACTTGATCGTCGGAGTGCCCCCGGGTGGAAGAACCACCGCCGGAGCTTTTCCTTTCTGTTACAGGTTGCTAAAGCCATCTATTCTACCTGTGCTCTCCAGCAGATCACTAAACGGGCAGTGTGGTCAGATTTTCACCCACACACATATATATATCTATATATGTATATCCTGAAAAGTGATTAAAAACCAAACTCAACTCCTTTTTGTTAGATTTCATAAACTATAACATAATATTTTCGTCAATTAAATTATAACACTTTTTTTTATTAACGACAATATTTTAGAAATAATGAATTGCTATTGTTCAATATGTACATATATTTTTACATAAATTTTTGAAAAAATAGAATTTTTGTAGAGAGTTTGATTATAATTTGTCCATAATTTTGGAATGAAAATTTGAAAAGAGTTTAGAAATATTTACAATTTGTAATCAAGTTGTGCAAATAATTTAATTATGAAATTTGAAAATATTTTTAAAAAAATGTTAACAACATTGTTTCATAAATTACAACATCACATTTTCGTCAATCAACTTGTAAATTTTTTTTTATTTATGAGTATTTTTTCCGAATTACAGGTCAAGTCCAATTTTTACATTTTATTTTTATATATTGTTATGTATTTTTCAGTTAACTCCAATTGGTGAGTCGACTGCAATTTGTCAACAACCCCATCTGCCGCATTACTTCATCTGACACCAGGTTAGGTTGAGAGGGCAAATATGTCAATTTACTCACTTTTTATTATATATATTATGTTTTTTTACATCTTTTTAAAAAATATTAAATTTTTTTCTTAAATATACTAAATTTTTTACATTATATTTTAATTAAAAAATTAAAGAATTATTAAAATAATATATTCCTAAAGGAGATCTAAGTATAACTCAGGATGCTTATGTAATTTACCCTAGTTTGTTTTGAGTTCTTTTGGCAATTGAATTTGGCTTTTTAGTTTTTTTTTTTAACGTGTGACTAAAAGTTTCATTTAAAAAGAATTTTGTTTTTATTTTTTTGACTTTTTATAAGAGAAATAATGTAATAATTATGAGTTGAATATGATATTTTATTTTATTAAATTAAAAAATCTATACGATGTTTTAAAAAGTTGATAAAAATTTGACTTTTTAACTTTTTTGATGGATTTTTTGACGACTTTCTCGTGGCTTTTTTTAGAAGAACTTAATAAAAGGTAAAAAAAAACTGACTTTCTGCTTAGTTTCCAAATTACTCCTTTATCTTTTTTATGATTAAAATAGTCTCAAACCCAACCAACCCAACCCAACCCAAACCCAACCCTTCTTTCAAACGAAGCATTTGTTGTCCAGTATCAGAAAAGGTGTAGTCTTGGTTCCTTCTGTTCTCTGGAAGTCAAGAAGGTGTCTTCTTCACTTGTTTTAGAGAGAGAGAAAGAGATGTGGGCCGCAGGGATGATAGCAGTGATGGTGGGAATAGAGTGTATGGAAGCAGGTTCAAACACTTTAAGCAAAGCAGCCATGACAAATGGAATGAGTGACTATGTATTTGTTGTCTATTCAAACTCCCTTGCTTTGCTCTTCATTCTTCCTTCTACTCTCATCTACCACAGGTCTCTCTCTCTCTCTCTCTCTCTCTCTCTCTCATGTTCATCACTTCGAGTAAGGATCCTCTAGAGTTTTTTCTTCCTAAAGTGTGCATTGTGTGGTTGAGATTTAATGATAAGTCACATCAATTTTTTAGCATTAAATCTCAACCACACAATACACCACTTTAAAAAAAAAAACACTCTAGAGGATCCTTGGTGCATCACTTCTATCTCCTCAATAATCCCCCCCCCCCTCTTTTTTGATTGATTAATTTGCGGGAAAAGACCATGCCCAAAACTTACTTTCTTGATTGTTTGTAGAATCTTCATCCTAGGCCTCCTCAGGTGTGAAATTGCCCCCATCTAAATTTGGTTTTCTTTGGAGTAAAGTATTTTAGTAATTTCACACTTATAATCTGTAATTCTAATTATATTTATAATTTATGTAATTGAGAGGCACAACTATCTGTATATATGGTTACTAATGCAACTCATTTTGATCATAGTAAAGGTATATTATGTAAGTGAGGAAAGTGACTATCCCTGTATCTGATTTATAACTCAACTTGATCTTAATAAAATTACTCTAATAACGACTATAAATCTTGTATTATTTTATGTATTAGTGATTTGTTGTTAATTATGAGTTTATTTATTTATTTATTTATTAATTTTTGGGTGTGTGTGTGTGTGTGGGGGAATCAGTTGTACTTTGCAGATTTTAATTTATATTGGAATAGGGTATAGCTCTCCAACCATGGCCTCAGCAATGAATAGCCTCATCCCAGCCTTCACCTTCATACTTGCACTTGTGACCAGGTACTGTTCCTATTCCTGCTTTTTCTTTTTCCTTTTTTCAATCTCACTCATTTTCTCCAATCAATTACCAAACGCCATGTGTCAATTATGGCTTGTCCTTTGTCTTTGTTTGATAGTGCTTGTGCTTTTTTGTGAGGCCTGTTTTTCATGTTCGTATTTCAATAATTTATTATTATTCTAATAGTTTTCAACTATGGTTCCCTTGTTTGAGATGGTGGCAACAACCTGTTAGGCATTATCCAATATAGGTCTATTTGTTTGGACGGGTTGGATAAAATGAATTATAATCTATTGGGCGGTTAGTCTTGAGATATATTGAATAAAAGGGGATTATAATTTATCGGATTATTAGTCATGTAATACATTGTTCCTAGATTATTTGGGTAGATTGAATTTGTATTTTTTGTTTGTTTAGTCATGGAATTGGATGTCTGGATTAGACTATTTTTAGTGAATCCAATATTTGGTTGGATGGACTAGATAAGGATAAATCACTACAAAAAAAATGACTTTTTGCGACGGTAAAATACCGTCGCTAATACTCCTAATGCCGTCGCTAATACTTTTTGCGACGGCAAAATGACTTTTTGCGACGACAAGAGGGGGGTCGCAACTGCAAGGGTTGCAAAAGAGTTTTTGCGACGGTAAATGCCGTCGCTAATATTTTGCGACGGTATTTTTTGTCTTTTTGCGACGGCACCGTGCAGTCGCTAATAACGTTTGAAATTTCTTGACTTTTTTGCGACGGCCCTATTTTACCGTCGCTAAAAATGTTATTTGAGATGGCAAAAAAATACCGTCGCCAATAGTCTTTTTTTTTATAAAAAAACTCTACTTGTTGCGACGGTGTGGTGCCGTCGCAAAAAATATAAAAATATGAAATTTTTTATTTTTTGCGACAGTGTAATGCCGTCGCAAAAAATATTAAAAAATAATAAAATTTTTATTTTTTACGACAGTATAACACTACTAAAAAAAATATTTTTTTGCGATAATTATGTTTTACTGTCGCAGATAATTATTTCTTAAAAAAAAATTCATATACAAATTTGCTACAACAAAAAAATTAATTACAAGCACCAAACAATTTTTTGTTAATGAAAAATAACAAAATTAACAAATTAATTAAATTTATAATAAACATTATCCATTAACCATCCTTAAATACACTGTACTAAAAAATTCAAGTCTTAAAAAAAAAAAAAAAAAAGAGCAACATAATCTTCGGCTACCAACACCACCCACTCGATCATATCAAACTATTCCCTCAACAAAATCTGCAAAAACATATATCAAACTCAACCAGGTTCCTTCATACTATAAAATGCTATGTAGTTAAAACACATATAAATTCAGAGAGACAGAGCCATTCTTCAAAGTGTGAAATCCCAACTATTGAAATTCTAAAAATAAAATAACATATGAGTTGAGTTTATTGGGGCAACTGAAAATAAAAAGTTACTAAATCTTTTGAAACCAAATAGACTCGTCAAAACAAATGTAATAACATAATTAATATATATTTTTTAAATTCCTTCATTTTGTATTTAAAAGTAAAATTTATTTTCCTTTTCCACAATTCTCTCTCAAAAAATTTCCTCTTTGGCTTCGGCTGTGAAATTTGAGAAAAGATCAATTACGCAGAGGATTTACTAATGGCAGTATGAACAGAATTACAAAAAAAATAAAAGCAAAAACAAGGATCCTGGTGCATTAATAATTAAAAAACAAACTATAAAAGCCGTAAAAATTTATTCCCCTATCATGAAAAGGGTTAATTGAAAACCTGATGTTCATTATGGGGAAGAAATACAAAAAATTAAAATAAAAAAATTAAAACTTATCATCATCAGGTAGTAGATAATCTGCTGCCTTTGCCATTTGAGCAGCACATAAAAAATCTGTTATTTCATCAATTGAGCATCTGAACCTGCAATATTTTACAGGCATTATTAAGAGAAAGATTAAATCTAATGAAATGAGCAACTCAACACACAGGAGGATAGACAAAGTTTAGCAATATCATCCAGCAGAAATAACTGGTTAACAGGACCCAAACGAGTATATACATGACAATCAGTATCACAATTCAGTGGAAGATGGAAATGTAAGATGTCCAGTATATTAATTTAAGTTTGACAGGTTTCAGAGTATAAGAAAGGTGTGCTATGTACCAAAAAAACCAATTGCAATCTTCTTTGATTTATTATAATAACATGCTTGTGCAATTTACAAGACACTAGAAACCAAAGAAGCACCGACATGGACAAAAGAATACAAGATATGATAGACATGTGGGGGACACAATATATATATTTTTATCATATGCATATTTGAATATTTCATTCAAAGATAATAAAAGAGTACAACGTAACAATATTTCCTAAAGTCTACAGTAGAGAGATTGTTATTCTTTTATCATTGAATCCTAAGTTATTCTTCAAGCTTGTAATGCGTTTCATGTGTGTCTCCCAAGCATGTAAAGCGTGTCCAAGTCTAAAAGAATTTAAAAATAATAAGACATGTTTGCATGTATGTTCAACTCACTTCACGAAGTGTCCGAGAGTGTCAATGTCTGACACATGTCCAAAATGAACACGAGAAGTGTCCGTACTTCTTGGCTAGAAACTATAGTAACATAAAGCATCAAAGACCAGTGTAGTGAGAAAAGTATCAAGTAAATAATGTAGTTATCTTAGTGTCTCACAAAATAACCCATTCACAATAAAAATAAAAATAAAAAAAGGTCAGAATATGCTTTAGGAATCAAATGGAAGGAACCTAATTCTTCTCTCAGCAAAGCACACAAAAAGAGAGAGAAACCAGGAAATTACATCATTCTTTAAAAGCAGCTTCAAAAAAATATGCAGTGTAAGTAGCAAGTCCCATGAGGAAATGGAATGCAGATTATGACAACAAAATTTAACAACCAAAACAAAAAGAAACCACAACCAACTATTCACATGTTGACAGATTATGGACAAAACAAAACATACATGGAAAGATACATGTGGCAGAATATAAATCCAAAAACCTGAATGATCTCCGAACAAACAATATCAAAACCAAAAATAGCATAAAACAAACATATTATCAAATATGCACCACATCTATCCATAGCTATTGACGCCTCTTCCACCATATACCCCATCTTTGCTAGGAAACAAGGTCTTCTCCTTATCAGACAAAGACTCCGTATTTTCCTGCCAAGAAAAATCAATCAAAAAAACCAAAATCAAACCAGGAAGGACGTGCATCCCAAGGGAATTACAATAGACTCAATTCATTGCTGTTAGTATGGAATACTACTTCCCAAAAGCTTAAGAAATCACTCCCATGGCATATCAGATGAAACCTTTTAAGGCTGATAAAGGAAAAGTTACGATTACAAAACAATTACAATCGTAACTACATTTATTTTTCAATTCCATTTAAGGCTGATAAAGCCAAAGAGGAAATCTTGCAACTACATTTATTTTTCAATTCCATCTTCATAATTAGGATTTGCAATTTAACTTGGAACTCAAGATTGAGTATTTGTTTCTCTTTATTCATTAGATTAACTATAGTATTTTAATTTTCTGGTTTCTTGCACATAGCCAAATCATTGAAACTGATGTGCTTGTAGTCCAGAAATCATGTGCATAAAACGGTTCCATAATGCAAGCCCAATTTTATCTACCTATTTCCAAACCCAATTTTAGATCCAACAAAAAATTTTCAACCCAATGAAAAAAACTATCCCTGTTTTCTGTTATTTTTAAGAAATGCAGTGCTAAAACTTAATCAGCACACAGTCAGCATGCACACCCAACTAATTAAATAGAATCTATCACCAAAGATAAAAAAAACAGAGTAATATGCAGGCAAAAACACAACAAAAATATAAAGGTTTCACTTCAAAAGGCTATCATACCTCACCAAAGAGATTAGGGTTATGTGTTGCTCAGGTAAGAGCATATGTACATAAAAATATTATAAATTGGCAACTAGTGTTATATTTATCCATAGTGAAGTTTGATCACCAAAAATTAGAAGCTTTGCCTCTTTTTTGCTGTCGTAGCTCTTTGGCATCGATTTCAGTCTCGATCTCCATCACCATCTGCATGTCAAAAGAAGATTCCTATCAGCCTCGACTCTCCAGCATGAATAGAAAAAAGAAAGAAGACTTAAGTGGGTTATTGCAACACTAAAGAGATGTATAAAGCTCCAGATCTATATAAAAAAAGAGATGAAGTAAAAAAACAGATCATATATAATATATATAATATGTAACAGATCAAAACCCCCCATATACACTCACAGATGTAGTATAATTATATATGTGTGTGTGCTATGAAACCCCTATATCCGAAATCCCGACGACACAGAGAGAGAGAGAGAGATACCTTTGAAATCGGCGGTGAGGGAGATCGCGCGTGAGGGAGGAGTGGGTGAGGGCGGTGAGGAGAGAGAGAGGGAGGCAGCAGCGGCGGTAAGGGAGGAAAGATTAGGGATTTTTGGGTTTGAGAGATTGGGATTTTTTGCTTTTGGGGCGAGGGAGCGGAAGTTAAAAAAAGAGGGGCGGGAACAAAAAATATATAATATATATATATATTTTTTTAAGGGTCAAAAATATATATTTTTTCTAGTAATGAATTTTTTTAAAATTTTTTTTTTTTTTAGTTACGAAGATTGAAAATTTATTTGTTTCATTTTTATTTTAATGAAAAAAAAATATTATTTTTTTTTTATTTGGTAGAAGTAGGGGCAATATTTAATGAAAAAAGGTGAAAGAGAGATGGTGGTGGTGGTGGTGATAGCGAAAGAAATAGTGGTGAAGTTGTGGTATGGTAGTGTAAATGGAGTGGCAGGGTGAAAGAGAGGTAATGGTGGTATGTAGTGGCAGTAGTGTAATTGTGGTAGTGAAGTGGTGGCAATGGTAGTAGTAATGGTAGTCGTAGAGTGAAGTTTAAAGAGATGAGTAGTGAGAGAGAGAGAGATAGTGAGAGACAGATAGAGGAGAAAAAGCGAGAGAGAGAGAGACAGAAATAGAGTGATGAGCGAGAGAGAGACAAAGTGGTCGCTAAAAGTGCATTCTTGTAGTGGAGAGCTCAGTAAATAGAGAAGCGATGAGAAGAGAGAGTGAGTAATGTGAACACAATGGGGGGAGAGACAAACAGACAGCAAGACACATAGAGAGAAGAGAGAGAAACAAAGAGAGTGAGAGACAAACAAACAGACACAGGAGAGAGAAAGAAAGAGAGAAAAGTGATAAGTGAAGAGAGATAAAGAAGAAAGAGATAGAGAGAACAAGAGAGAAAGAGAAAAATATAAAAATAGAGAAAAACAAGAGATGAGAGAGCATATAGAAAG